CTTCTGCTTCTCCTCCCCCGCCTCCTCCTCCTCCTCCTCCTCCTCTATATTATGACCTTGGAGGAGAGCACTTCTCCCGTACCCACAAGGTATGGAAACCGGAGTGATATCTGGGAAGAAGGAGTTTGTGTGCGGAAGGGGAAGGTAACGATGACCGGAATGTCTTGGAGGAGCCCAATCAGCAAGAGTCATTTGTCTTCTCCTGAGTCAACGTCTCCTCTGAGCACACAGACGCTTCTTATCAGCCAGAAAAGCAAGCCGTACCTGCTATCCTCCCCTTGCAGGTGCCAAAATCAAGACGTCTTTTGGCAGGCAAAGATTCCCTTGTGCCGGGAGGAGGAGAGAAGGCAAACCTGCTCCCACTGGGCCTGCCCTGGCAGCTGTCCCTTGGGATCTGTTCAGATGTTCGGGGAAAAGGATATAAACACTCTTATCTCTCCTCCCGCCCCCTCCCTCTGACACCGCATCAAGAAATCTTTGGCAGGGCCCTGGCCTGAACAGCCCAGGCAAGTCCGATCCAGTCTTCCCTCTAAGCCGAGTGAGTGTGAGCTAGCTCACAGTGTATTCTGTATGTCCGTAAAAACTTTTATTGTACGTATATCTATATGGCTGGACGAGCGACCAATGTTCCCTCTAAGCTGTGGAGTCTCTTGAGCAAAAATTCTACTTTGTGAGCTACTGGCATTAACGTTGTGAGCGAGCCATTTGGCTCCTGCATTAATTAGTTTGCTCTGGAGCCATCCCTTCCTGAGCTGAGACAAAAATGTGTGAGCTGGAGGCTAAAAAACTGTGAGCTAGCTCACACTCACTCAGCTTAGAGGGAACACTGCTAGCGACTGTAATAAATTCTGAACCTTGTTCAGAAATGAATGAATGGATGAATAAAATTAGGAATTATAGAATAACAATAATAATATGAGATTGGATTTATACCCCGCCCTTCACTATCCAAAAGAGTCTCAAAGCGGCTGACAAACTCCTTTCCCTCCCCCTCCCCACAACCACCACCCCTGTGAGGGAGGTGGGGCTCAGAGAGCTCTTTTGAGGACTGCTCCTGAGAGAACAGCTCTGAGAGAACTTGGGACTGACCCAAGGTCACACCAGCAGCTGCATGTGAAGGAGTGGGGAATCGAACCCGGTTCTCCCAGATTAGAGTCCACACCAGTGTCCCCTCTAAGCTGAGTGAGGGTGAGCTAGCTCACAGTTTTTTAGCCTCCGCCTCACATGTTTTTGTCTTAGCTCAGGAAAGATGTCTCCAGAGCAAACTAATTTATGCAGTAGCCAAATCGCTTACTCACAACTTTAAGGCCAGCATCTCACAAAAAAGAAGAAGAAGAAGAATTTCTGCTAACAAGACTCGACAGCTTAGAGGGAACATTGATCTTGTCAGATCTCGGAAGCTGAGCAGGGTCGACTCCGGCAAGTCCTTGGGTGGGAGACCTCCTCGGAATACCAGCAGTCGAGAGGCAGGGGCAGGCTTCATTCAGCCACCTCTCTGAATATCTTCCAGGCCCTCAGTAGGGGGCAGTCACCATCCAGGTGCGCACACACGCATAAAAATATCAAAAAAAGGGAGAAGAAAACTTTGGCAGGCAGAAATCCCTTTCCATTTGTTGTTGTTCAGTCGCACAGTCGAGTCCGACTCTCCGCGGCCCCATGGACCAGATCACGCCAGGCCTTCCTGTCTTCCGCTGTCCTCTGAAGTTTGCTCAATTTCATGTTCGTCCCTTTCCATTAAAGGTAAAGGTTCCCTTGCTCGAAAGCCAGTCAAAACCGACTCTAGGGTTGCGGTGCTCATCTCCGTTTCAAAGCCGAAGAGCCAGCGCTGTCCGAAGACGTTTCCGTGGTCATGTGGTCGGCATGACTAAACACCAAGGCTCACGGAATGCTGTTACCCTTTCCATTAGGACACTGGTTTTGAGTTTGGCCAATTGCAGATGATTGCGGGGGGGGGGGGCTCTCCCTCGCTGGAGGTCTGTCGTGCAAAGCTAGGTTGGAAAATACTTGGAGATTTGGGAGAAGGGTGGGAGGCTGTAATGCCACGGAAGTGGGCAGTGACTCAGGAAAGCGCACACCCTGCCACATACTTTGCTCGTCTTTAAGGTGCTCCTGGACTCTTGCTCTTTCCTACTACCCACCAAAATGACTGTTCTCTCTAGGGGAACTGATCTCTGTCGTCTGGGAATCAGTTGTAAATTCCGGGAGATCTCCCGCCCACACCTGGAGTTTGGCAACCTTGACGCTGTTCACTTTCCCCATTTGGGAATTAGCCCTATTGCAGCCAGCCTGCCGCTCTCTGCAGGCAAGCGTGTTGCTGCCCTCTTGTGTTCGTTGGATGGAATAGCACTCAGTCTCTCACTGTGGTGGAAAGCGGCCAATTTATGGCGACCCCTTGGGGGTTTTCAAAGGCAAGAGACGTTCAGAGGCGGGTTTGCCCTTGCCTGACTCTGCGTAGCAACCCAGGATTGACTTGTAGGTCTCCCATCTAAATTAGGGTTCATATCCTGTTTTTTAAGAGAATGTGTCCTCTTCTTCTACGCACTTAACCACGACACCAAACTAGTGAAGAAACTGAGCTCGGGGAGGCTCTAAAACGTGTTTTGGTCCAAAACCCTCCAGGGTTGCCAGCTCCGGGTTGGGAAATACCTGGAGATTTTGGAGGTGGAGCTTGAAGAGGACAGGGTTTGGGGAAGGAATGTGGAGGGACTTCAGTGGGGTCTAATGCCATACAGTCCACCTTACAAAGCAGCCATTTTCTCCAGGGGAACTGATCTGTCGCCCGGAGTTCAGTTGTAATAGCACGAGATCTCCAGCCGGTACCTGGAGGCTGGCAACCGTAAGACACCTTCCCTCGTCCACACCAGCCTTCAAAATCCGAAACTCAAATCTGTCCCCCACTCCCCTATCTCTCCTATGATTCGTTTTATTAATAAATTCTATTTAATGTCTTCTCAAAGCACAATACCATCAATACATATAAAAAAAGGTTCCTAGAAATACATACTTTGGGGGCAGCATGTGGAGAAACGTACAAGAGGCCTTCCGGATTTTTCAGTCATCTGTTTTTTCCCGTCTACTGTATGGGATACTTATATGGATTCAAAAGTTTAATAAAAGAATAGAACTAATAAGTTCTACCTTCTTTCGCAGGATTCTAGGTTTTCCTAACGCCGTCTCCTATTTTCCCCTCTGTGCGGAGCTAGGTTTGCATCTTATTGAATCACGGGCATGGATCACCACTATCAAATACTTTATTTTTTTAATTTATTTATTTACATGTGACTTCTATACCGCTCATGACCCCTACTGGGTCTCAGAGCGGTTTACAGGTGGCCTACATTTTTGTAGTCAGATCCTACCTAGGGTGGCAATTGTGCAGGGAGGGGTTGCCTAACAGCACCCGGACGACAGGCTTCTCTCCGTTCTTGGTGGCTCT